TGAGGGGCTTTCACCCAGCCCCTGGAGCCTGGCACTTTGAACTGGGACTTAAAGCCTCCAAACTGTACGAGAATAAATTCCTGTTTCTTCAAGCCATCCTCTTTGTGGTATATTCCTCTCAGAGCAGCACTAGGTAACCAAAACACCCAGCATGGTGGATCATCTGATTGCTTGATTCAAAATGGCCAATACCAATCCATTTCAGCTCACTAATTCTCAGGATGTAAATGTTCATGTGTTTCATCTCATTCCATCTCATTTTTTTTACAACATCCTACTTTTCTACATACATACATTGTACATTCCATATTCTGATTATTAACGAAAGTCTGCAGCTGTTTCTTCCCATTTTAAGTCATGCCCCATCAGCAAATGAAGGTCCTAAAATCTTTCTTCAAACCATGTCATTAAGATTCACTCTACTTGGCACAGGACCTAAGGTACCTGACTATTAACAAGAAGGTTGGCGATTCAAACCCACCAGCTGCTCCAAGTAAAGAAGATAGGGCAATATACTTCAGTAAAGATTTACCACCTAGGATGGAAGGGACTTGATGGCAGTGAGTTTGGATTATCTTTGTTCTCTACTTGGAGGAGGCATGGTCTTATTTGGAGTGCCTTCTGACCTGAGGGGCTCATCTTCCAGCACAAAATCAGGTAATTTTTCCTGGCTACTCATTAAGTTTTCCAGTAACATATCAAACAGTGTTTCACTGTTATTTATAAGGGTTTCACTGGACAAGTCTTTTAGAAATGGATATGCCCTTCCTTCTTCCCAGTCTGTATTAGTCTGGAAACTCTGCTGAAACCTGTCTGCCATGGGTGACTTTGCTCATATTTCAAATACCAGTGCTTTAGCCTTTGGCTCCAAAACAACACTCAAGCTATTACTGTACGACAAACTGACAGATGTTTGATTTTTTCCTACTGGGGTCATAATCCAGCTGGCACCAGATTTAGTTGCTATGCAACACATACACTGTCTTCCTTTAGGTCAGTAATTATTGTACTGTTAGAACTGGTTCAAAGTTCAGTTATACACCTATAAATACTCATGTTGTTGTTGCTATGTGCCGTTGAGTCAGACCTGACTCGTAGCGACCCCTCCTTGGGTTTCCGAGGCAGTATCATTATGGAAGTAGATTGCCCCATCTTCCTTCCGAGGAGTTGCTGGTGAGTTTGAACCGCCAGCCCTCTGGTTAGCAGTCCAGTGCCTTAGGCACTATGCTACCAGAGCTCCCATATGTGTATCTTAATGATATGACACCTTACAATTTTCTCCAGAGGCACTGTTTGTTCGTTCAAATAACACTCACCTCAAACATGTTCCATGGATTTTTTGCTGGTCTTCATTGCCATGCAACTTGGAGACTGGTCCAAACAAGGAGCACCAATTGTTATTCTTCATGAATCGCAACATTATATGATCAGTGCACAACTTTTCTCTGTAAAAGGTGACTGGCACAATAATTCAAATGGAGGTTCACAACATGAAACAAAAATGAAAGGAATTAGCGAGGGAAAAAGGCTGCCGTGAACAAAGGAAGACTTATCCACATTTTACTGTTTCACCACTTTGGCAATGGTTAAAAAGCAAATGAATAAGAAATACTTCCATGTGAACTGAGCATAATGGTGACTGAAGTGGGTGTAATTAGGAGAGCCAAGTAGAAAGATATTGGACACGACATACACGTATATCACAGGGGGAAAAGGGCCAGCATGATAACAGGTAAGAGAGGATGGTCAAACCTGAAGATTAACCTCAGGTATCTATAAATTTGGGCCCTCAGGCCGGAACAGACTTCTTCTAGCTAACCGAATGCAATATAATTCCCTCTACGCATGGTTATTACTTTGAAAAATTCTCACTTTTCTGGTGCTTGCCGAAAAAGTAGCCCTCTATGAGTCTTATCTTGACTGTTCTGATTTTTCCCTGGATTCTCTGGAAAAACAAATGGGCAGTGCTGACTTGGGGCTCATGCAGAAACATGTATGATGAGGGAAGACAGTGAAAACCATGACCACTTTCCTGTCACTGAGCCAAAAGAGTGCCCTTCAGGTTCTCTGAAGCTGGACAGGTGTGAGTTTATTTGCAGCAAATAAGAACATCAATGTTGTAATCAACATAGTACAACTCTACAAAGGCCCAAATCATAAATCTCTCCATGACACAAAATGACCACTAGAAGCCAATGCTTACACTAGTAACAATTAAAGAGCTTCAGGGCTTTTAATCACAACAGAAATGTCTCTTTACTATAAAGAGCTTTAAAGTCATGGGAAGCTGTGAGCTCCATAGACCAAGGAAGTACGACCATCTTATTTAACAACTTATTCCCATTCCTCAGCCCAAATACTGGAGCCGAGTTGATGAGTGAAATATATGTGATCACTAAAGGAATTTCAAAGAAAAAAAAGATGACATTCTTACCTACGGAAGCCAGGTTTCTCAAGGTTTCCATCGTCACATCTCTATAGAGTTTCTTCTGAGCAAGATCCAGCAAAGCCCACTCTTCCTGGGTGAAGACCACGGCCACATGCTCAACAACCACTGAGTCCTAAAACAAAGTACACATTCTGCATCAGCAAGGGACCATGGACTGCAATGGACAGAAGATGGAAGGGTTAGCCTGATAATCCCTGAGAATTCACAGGCATTTGACATAAAGTCCTGTGGTCTACCGTCTGCTCTAGGGAATAGCCATCAGGTTCAATCCCTTCACTAACCACATTCACCTCCTCATGGATGGTGACCTGTCTCACAGACTCACAACACACTGAAATGATCTCCTCACAGTTTGGCTGAAATCAAGTGAAGTCTTATCCTCTATCTTTATTGTCTAGAACAGTGAGAAAATATACAAGGACTTAAACAAATGGTCTCATTCATTAGGAACAATGAATCCCTTAGGAACAAACAATTATATTTCCTTCCAGAAGACCCACCAGAACACTAAACAAAACATAAAGCACAGGGTAAGGGCAGGATAGGGTATGAACAACTGGTAAACACTGCACAACGGCAATTCTACCTATTGGCCCTCTCAACCATGCGAGGACTGAAGGCCCACATGATCAAACAAGCAAGCAAAATGTTGCTGAAGACAATTCAAAAAAGGTTGAAGCCGTATATTGTTAGGGGACTGCCAGGAATTCTAGCTGGACCCAGAAGAGGGTATGGAATGAGGGTTATCTCTGCTCATGTCAGATGGAGGTTGGCTGAAAGCAAAGAATACCGTATGATATTTATCTTTTTTTTACTGACTACTCAACGTTGAACAGATAGTTCACAGCATTATTTAAAATACAAAAGAAGTGACATTTTTATATACAAATCATACAAAGTCACGTGAAAATCCCTCCATTTTGATTTTACTTGGCTCAGAAGGACTTCTAAACTATTCATACTCAAACACAGAAATTAACAATATGTTGACTAGAACAAATCACATAAAAGTATAACAATGGCCACAATTCAAGTATCCTATCGTGACAAGACAGGTAAAAACAAGAACAGAAACACTAGGTCAAACTTAGTATTCTGGAATTTTATTGGAATTTCAATTACAGCTCTCAACAAGCTGTTACGAAAAGATAACCATGAGAGTTTGTCCATTCAAATGTCAGGGTACATTCCATCTACGTGTTGTGTAATAAATGAGGGGAAATAAGAATTTTCTACATCCATTTGCTCACTTGTACCTCAACACTGGCAAGATGCTTCCGGAAGTCAGAAAGCTGGTGATTTAAAGGCACCTGCAGGATGAGGGAGGGGCTGGATAAGGACAACAGCAGGAACAAGTCTCACAAAGTACATTTTCAAGTTCATACTGAGTTTCCTTTGAAAACAGTATTAGTTGGAAAAACAATTTCAATAAACTACATTTAGTTTCAAACATGATATAAATTATTAGTTATTAAGTTATTGGTAGGAATTCATTTTCAAATAATGAACACATTGAAAATCTAATCATTTAGGATACAACTGTTATTAAACAGCCTAGTATTCTTGTACAAATCACAACAGTACAAATTTGAGCTCTTTCTAAACACACTCACCAGGGGCATCCAAGTTTACGCATCTACTTACTGTATCTCGGCTGGTGTTTCTAAACAGGCTACAATAATATTGAACCCCTTAGGGTTCTGGCGGGACTTGTTCAATGTAACAGGACTATGCAATACCTTTGCAGATTTAAGTAAATCTTAGAGTAATTATGACATCAGTCAAAACAGGTATTGCTGTGGTTTGAGAAGTTTCTCATTAAATTGAAAAATTCTCAGTAGAAACGCACCACGTGATCTAGAAGGTTTCTTCTAGTAGAAACTGTAAAGCCAAGAAATTCAATACACACATCACATAGGTTGATATTCTCTACCAAAAAAGAAAACGTTAGTTTTAGATTCTAATTCAAGACCACGGAGAACAATAAAAAATTACAGGGATTAAATACCAGCTCAAGGCACAGTTGGAAGTACAAGGACCCAGACTGGGAATTCATGCTTTCTACACACTCGAAAGCCCCAAGGCAAAAGCTTTCCCCACTACAGGGAATGAAAAGGGGTCTACAGACCCCACAGAGGACCCATCTGGAATCCCTGTGCCCAGCTTTGTATGTTTGGTCACATCAAGAGAGCACCAACACCATTCAGGAGTTGAACTATGAACTCCCTCCCCCTTTTCTAACCCATAACACAGTGTGAAAGGCTGAGCAGTGGTTATAGAACTGCACAGAAATGCTCCTGTGTCTGGGGGAAGTCAAGAAAACTGGTAAGAGACATGGGACAAGGATGGATGTAGAGGATCGAGTGTCAGCCTCCACAGCCAGAGCCGCTCTGGTCTCAGGCTCTGGTCAGGAAACTCTGTGATTAAACACAGCACCAAGATCCCATGCCATCAGCTCTGAAAGTCACATTAGAAAAGTGAACCCAGGCACACAACTCTCCAACAATCACAGATGTACAGAAAAAGCGCCCAGTGATGGAGAAGGGCTTCAGGAAACCTCAAAAGGCTCAGTTCCGTGGCTTTCTCTGCCACCCTGTTCTTCACTGAGGAACCAGTCCTGCTGCACACAGCTAGTCCTCCAACAATTCACATTCAGCTTCACACACTTAAGATAAGAAAAACCCAGTTCTCCACAGAACTCACCATTTCTGGCTCCACCTTCTCGCAGTCTAAGGGAATGGCGTTTCTAAGTCCAAGAAGCCACTTGAGGAAGGAGGAGAGCAGAAGCCAGTACTGGACAATTCGGAGGCAGATGAGTAACGTTTGGTTCAAACACCAGTCAAAGCTGTTGAAATCCTTCCTTGGGATTTATGAAATGGATGCGCAAGATGGTCACCCTAGGTCTCTAGATGCCTGGACTGGACTAGTTCTCCCAGCACCACACTGGAGACCGGACATGGAAGAAGAATGGGGAGGAAAAAGTGGTGACATAAGCAAGGAATGACAGGTTTCTGGCTTCCTCCCAGGCTCAGGGCAATGCTCTACCATGAGGCCATTTGCACTAAAGACAAAACAGGCTCCAGCCTCCAGACAACATGCCTACATTCTTCATGCAGCTGCAATGGTTTCTTCTTTTTATAACAAGACCACAGACGGAGGAATTTACTTGTCCCAGAGTAATGATGAGAAGTGACCAGGCCAAGCCAGGCTGGAAAATTTGACCCTGATTTCCTCCAAGGGGTCAGAGGTGTAATGTGAAAGTTGTGGGTTCATCTATATACATCCGTCTCTTATACATACACACACACTATTATTAGATATTGACTTGGGTGAATTTTTAGGAAGAACGTATTTTCTAAGTTTTAACAATGAACTCAGTATGTTGTTGTTGTTATGTCCCGTCGAGTCAAACCCGACTCATAGCGACCCCTCCTTGGGTTTCCGAGGCAGTATCACTACGGAAGTAGGATCGCCCCACCTTCCTTCTGAGGAGTGGCTGGTGGGTTTGAACCGCCAGCCGTCTGGTTAGCAGGCAAGTGTCTTAGCCACTAAGCTACCAGAGCTCCCAATATAGTTCATGCATTTTTAAATATTTGCAACCCTTCCATTATGTATTTAAATTTAAAAATTTCATTGATACCATTGCAATATGTGATTGATATTTATCCTGTTGCTTCTGCAATTACTGTTTCTTTCTTCCCTTTCAAATTTTGAGTTTATTTTTTCCCGTCTTTCATTCTAAAGCATGACACCACCCATCCCTAAGCTTTTAGGAATCTAAGAGGTTCCTCTGTCTTTCAACCTTATCACAAATCAATCAACAAACAAATCAGAAAATTGTTACCTTTGCTCTAAGGAGCTGTCTCCCACCCTGTCCCCATTTCTTCCCACCCTACTTTCCCTCCAGGCTGATTCATTTTCTGGTCTCAGTGTGAATGTTCTCTCTCATATGATCTTTGAACCAGTGTTTCCTTTGGGAGCATTCTTCTTACCTGTATTATTTTCTCTGATAGCATGCTCTAATTTTAATTCACATCTGTATTTCTGGACTTATTATTTCCAGCATGAACTAGGAGCTTGTTCCCTATGTAGAACCTCTATCCTAATCCCAGAATTGCTGACTCAAAATCCACATTTTCATAAAATCCCTAGGTGCTCCTCATTGACATCCACGTATGAGAAGCACTCACTTATCCATAGTCCGTAATTCAACAAATGAGCTTCTATTAACACATATGTTTTCACCATCTACATCTACATCCATCACTGCACTGTCTTCCTGAATCACAACTGAGATCCACATCCAAGGCTCCTCATCCTCTTCCTTAACTTGTTCATAAAAAAGTCCTGCCTGACATCATTCAATCTTGCATGTCATTCCTGTTAGGCAGAAACATGGCTGGCCACGCGGGTGAATGATTAAGCCGGAGGGAATTATAAGAACTGATCAAGCAAGGAAGAGCCCATACCAAACCCCAGCATGCAACCCTTACTTAGGAAAGACCCCAGCACCTGACTCTTACTCATGAAAGCCCCCAACCATTTCCTGCCCACTATGTTAATGAAGTGCTTCAGCTCTACTTCTTGCCCCCATGGTAATAGGGTGCTTTAACCTTATTGGTTCCTGTAACACATACCCTGCTCTTAATCTGGTCCTCTAGAAACCAGGAAGAAAATCACTATAAAAAACCCTTTCTTTCACCTGGGCAGTACGACTTCTCTGGCCCCTGTCAGGGACCCATGAACCTCGCCCGGGAGCGCGGAATAAAGTTTTCCTCGCTCTATCTTGTGTCCCTTCTCCTTCTTATCTCGACCTTACAATTCCCTAAATCCATCTGAAGCACAGGAAATGCTTAACTCCAATCAGGGGCTGTATACTGGCCTCACCAAGCCCAGGGTACTCAGCAGGGTTCAAAATGACCTGCCACCACTGCCTCCTCCAATCTGCCTCACACAGAGCCCCCACCCACACTGTGATACCTCTGCTTCCATCATCTCTGATTTTCATCAAGGGATAGAAGATGCTGGGTTCTCTCTCTGCTGCCTCAGAGAATCACGCATTCTGTTTTCCCAACAGAAATGCTTTACCCATACCACCTGCTATCAGCCCCACAAAACCTTGCAAGTAGCCAAGACTGTCTAAAACATCACTTAGTATTATGACTCGTTTCATTACACAGGCCTCCCATTTTGCCCTCATTCCTAATATTCGCTGCTCTGACATTGGGAATGTGGACGGTTTGTGCTCCAAGAAACCTTCCCACCTTTTACAAAGTGTGGTTCTCTGGTGGCAAAGACTGTAGTTCAATCCGCAGCGTCCACTCCAGCAAAGACACGCACACTTGGGGTGTGAGCTCCATACACCCCTCATGGCCTAGAGTAAAAACGTTCAGAAACGTCACATTTCGCATCAGGGCAATTTGGACCGTCCAAATTGCACCTCAGGCGATCTTGATAATAACGTCTGCCTTACAGCCAAAGAAATGCCTCAAAACATGGCTGCTAGTAAATGTTTCCTCCTGAGACTGGGTAAGTATGCCCCCAAATAAACAAACATACCGGTTCCAACTCAGGTTTCCCAACTCTTTCTCCTAAACACCTAGAACCATCCAAGGAGGGGGATGAATTCCTCACCATATTCTCCATTTGTGAATGACCAGCAACACTCAACAAAAGTCCCCCCTGAAGAGACACAGAAAACAAAAGAGTCATTGTAGGCAGGAAACTGTGGTCGCGAATTCGCCCCCTGAGGGAAGAACAGACCGGACCGTTAGTTCACACACTGGCCCTTCCGAAGCCATTGTCCACGGACACGCGAGAGGCCCCGCGATGTTACCTGTTCCGCCCCGAGAGACGCAGCTCGGTCCCCGCTGCTCGGCGTCCAGAATGCGGCTCCGAATACCGGCCCCGGCTGGGATGGCGCGGGAAGCGATGGCGGCGGCGCCCCGGCGACAGGAGGCCCCGAGGCTCCGTGAGGCGGAGAGACCGAGAGTGCGCGGGAAAGCGGGGGCAGCGCCTCAGACCCGCGACCGGAGCCTGCGGAGGAAACGCCAGGCGAGCAGGGCGCCTGGCCACTAAGAGCGTAACCGTACTCGGCTGCCAAGAGAATCGAGGCTGCACACTTCCGCTTCCCGTTTCTGCCATCTCCATGTCGCAGGCTAATAGCTCCGTGCGCGGTCGCAAAGCGCTCTAACTGGACATCGTGGGATTTCGCGGCTTCCAGTTACTTGTGGGTCGGCCCTTGGGTTCCCTTACTTCCTCTCTACACGCACACACACACACACACACACACAAAAAAAATACCTAGCTATTTCAATCCTTTTGTGAACTAAATCGCGGGTTTCGATAATCAGATACTCTTGAGGAGCAGAGAAACAGTATATGCATAGTTGGTACAATGAAAAAAAAAATTAAAATATTCCTTAATGAAACCACTACTTTGCTCTTCACACTATTTCCACACTTTACAGTTCTTGAAGGGTCTAATTTGACTTTGGTTTCATGAATTGTCCTCTCTTCATGAGGAATTTTTCTCTAGTAAGTCGACAGACTGTAAAACCAGCCTGATTCCCCCAAGTGGAACTAACCCTGCACTTCTCCAGGGTGACAGGCAGGGAGACAGACATCAGTCGTTCAGAGGGTCACTAGGTAAAAGGCAAAGGATCTTTCAAAATGACAACTAGGAAGTTTTTACTTTTTACTCATGTAATAAACTGCATAACGTGTTCTCATCTTAAGGACACAATGTAAGGTAATTTTATATCTAGTTATACACTCAGAACCTCTTCGGTCAAATTAGGGAATTTTTTCAGGACATCTGATGATTCTCTCCGTCCCTTTTCCCAGTTCACATTCACTCAAGCAGTAACCAATGTTCTGAGTGTTGCCAGAGACAAGTTTTACCCATCTAGGGCTCCATAGAAGCAGAGTAATATTGCATGGAATGCATTACGTAAGTGTGTGATTCATCTGGACAACAAAATTTACATGAGATTTGATCTATGTAGTTGCAAATAGCAATAATTTGTTTTATTCAATAGATGAATATACTACAATTTTTACTAGTCACTTACGAATTCATTTTCCCCAATCGTTAAGGTATATACTGTAAACCAGCATATGGTCTGTCTTAGTGATTATTTAACGGCACTTAGAAATGAAGTGTCTTCTCTTTTAAGGAGCTCTTGTTAACTAGAAGGCCAGCTGTTCAAAGCCAGCAGCCATTCTGTAGAGGGACGATGTAATCTACTTCTGTATAAGATTTACAGCCTCAGAAAACCCTAAGACATTACCTATGGTTGTCATCAACACAACTGGATGGTGCAGGTTCTCAAAGTTCAACCCTGAGAGTCTCAGTGGCAGCTCAGCCATGCACCAGCCACGAGTTTGCCAGGTCACTTCATCCCTCCCATAAGAAATTGGGAGACATAACCATACCTTCTCCATAAGGTGTAGGAGACTGTCTATTTGTAGTGGGCTTTTCTTTCATCCCTTCCTCCTTTTAGTAATGACGTTGTGATTTTCGTTTGGAGAACTGTCTCTTACAATTTAGTGACTTGGTTAATATGGCCCTTCTAGCCACCATCCTCCTCTTGTGATATATTGTAAATCAGCGTCAGTGCCTGTTTCGGGTGGGTAGCATCTTGAGTCTCACTTTGCTGGAGGGAATCACTGAAGTCAAACCACCATTTTGTGATGTATTATAAGTTCTATTTTCTATGCCTGCTTTGGGAGCTCTGGAAGTTCAAACCCACTAGCCACTCCTCGGAAGGAAGATTGGGCAATCTACTTCATAGTGATACCACCTCAGAAACCCAAGGAGGGGTCGCTATGAGTCGGATCCGACTTGACGGCATTGAGTTTAGTTTTTGTACCTGTTTAGGGTGGAATGTATCTTGAGTCCAACCTTGCTGGAGGATGTGAGTCAAGTCACCACCCTTAGCTTCCTTGAGGGTATATATGTGAATGTTCACTCTCTTGCTTCATTCTGCATTAGGTTCACCATCTCGCTCCTAGACTATTTTAGACAGCAGCCATCATCTGACTCTCCAATTTGCGTCTACCAACCTCTGCAACCACATGACTTGGGAGAATCTGCCAGAGCTATCCATAGACCTGGGACTTACCAGCCTGCCACTCTCCACAACCAGCACGTGAGCCGTTTGCTTGGGAGCTGTGAGTCTATGAGATGTTACAGCAAACTGCAGAAAGCTAAGACAGAAGGGAGATTATTCAGGGGAGAAGGAGTTGATGTCAGAGACGGTGGAGTGGTGTGGCAGTCTAGACAGACTTGGCCTTTGGAACTTCTTTACTCTACACCTCACCAGGAACAGCTTTGTGCTGATCCTTCTAAAAGAAATTATTTGAGCACTTCTCAATCATCTGATTTCAGTCAAGAAACCCTGGGGGGGCAGTTCTACTCTGCCACATTGAATTGCTATGACTTGGAATTGTTCCATGGCACCAAATCACATTGTGCTAAACGTTTACCTTTTTATCACAGACGTGAATTTATAATTCTTGTTTTGTTGTAAGGTGTTCTGATGGCAGTGTGTAAGGATACTAACCAGAAAGTCGGTGGTTCAAACCCACCAGCTGTTCCAAGAGAGGAAGATGAGGCAACTCACTCACAGAATTCCAGCTTTGGAAAGCCATGAAGGTTGAATGAGTTTGAACTGTTTGATGACAGTGAGTCTTTTTTTTTTTTTAGGTTTTGTACTAAGAACCATATATAATATAATAGTAACTTCTAGCACTATGATTTGGTTTGTTTTTTGGTGATGTCATCAGGGAGGACAGACTCTTTTCAGAAACATCCATTCTGAAGCAACTTGGGACTAGAAAATAGCGGGCAACTGGCAGTGAGATGGCGCCCAAGAGGACAGAAGTAAAATGGCCTGATGAATGTTTATGTAATGTTCTAGAAACATTCTAGACTATAAACATATGACTTTACATTTTATTGAGTCCATGATTAGGAAAGAGGAAGCTTGCGTTAAAGCTCAGAATCTAGCACTATTTGTTCAGTTTGTTTTGAAATATTCACCAAATGGGCTTTTCACTGTATTTAATTCCCATAGTAGGTGATATTAAAAATAAAGTCAAAGTAAGAAAAATAATGGTGACATCTTAGTTCACACATTGCCCTCTTTCATTTCACAAGGATTTCTGCAGCACCTTAGTGTGTCCCAGGAAAAGTGATGTGGAAGAGATGGATCTCCACCCTTACGCTACTAATGCTTTGTGAAGGAGATAGTCCAAAGCTGAAAAGGCTTACAGCAGACAGGAAGGTGACCCAAATTGGTGAAGTGGCAAGAATTTGTGGCTCTGTGACAAACCTAAAAGAGAATGATGTAACGAAAATTCTTCAACAATAATTTTTTTATATTACCGTGTGGGCTCTGGAATGTATGTTTTAATTATGGCCCAAAGGCAGTTTCTTATTCTCATGGATGGGTTTTTAATTGTGGAATGAGAAACTGACAGTCACACAAGGACAGAAAACAAATGGGATTTAGGACTCACTGGTATCTGAGGGGGAATGATAGCAAGCCTCAACACAGGGCCATACAGAGCACCGCCCCCGGGGACAAGGAAAAATTGAAACTGTAGGAGAGGGTTTATTGTGGTAGTTAAGTTTGTGTGTCAACTTGGCTGGGCCTGGTTGAGTGACTGGGCAGCTGGATGTAGTATTCCCCATGGTAAGACTGGTCATCAACTCCACAGTGGAATCTATTGTGAGCAGCTGAGTAGCTACTTTAGGGATGTGGTCTGCTTCCTGTATACAAGGAGAAGCCTTGGGGAACTGTCTCTAGCTTATGGCACGCTTGAACCCTGCATGTGGCCGTGTCACTGTTCAGCAGTCTGCCACGCTCTGCTGACCTTGGGACTTTCAGTAAAGTTGGATCAATGGCTGGTGGTTTGGTAACATCATGACTGTGCCGTTTTACTTGTCAACCTTGGGCTTGTCATTCTCAGCAGCCAGCAGCTGCCTGAGTGAAGAAAAGCCTCTAGCTTCAGTGGGCCCAGAACAGGAGGCAGAGCTAAAGCCCAAGGTTGAGGGGCTTTCACCCAGCGCCTAGAGCCTGGCACTCTGAACTTGGACTTAAAGCCTCCAAATTTTAAGAATAAACTCCTGTTTGTTAAAGCCATAACGTCTGTGGTATATTTTTCTGTTAGAGTGACACAGAAGTAACCAAAACATTTGTGTGTGGCAAGCTGGATGTATTTAGCATGTACTAAGGAATTATTGATCAGTTTAAAAGTGTCTAGTACTTTAGCGGGGAACTCTAGTGGCATAGTGCCTAAGGAATTTGACTGCTAACCAAAAGGTTGGTGGTTCAAACTCACCAGCCACTGCTCAGAAGGAAGACTGGGAATCTACTTCTGTAGAGCTAACACCTTGGAAATTCAAGGAGGGGTTGCTATGAGTTGCATCAGACCCAACAGCAAGGAGTTTGGTTCCTTTTATGGTTTTAGTTCTTTAGTGTGGGAATAGCCCAGAGCCAGAGAAAAAAATATCATATTCTGCAAGGTTTTCACACCTTAAAATGCATACATCAATCAACCTGGATAAAAGGAGTAAAGCTGCTGGGCTCAGAGGCAGATGAGGAGATGACGGAAACAGGGCCAAGAGGAGGCTGTCCTGAGGAAGCAAGAGGATCTTGTCCTGAGAGGACCAAGGAGGACTGGTTACTAAGGGGAAAAAAGAGGTCTAACCTAAGGCAGCTGAAATTATCCTACAATCCTTAGGTTATAGAAAGAAGCTTGTCTTACAGGGAATAAGAAAAACCTATTCAGAGTTGGAGGAGAGGAACCTGTCCTGCAGGGGCTGAGATTAGCCTTTCCAATGGGTCAAGAGGAGCCTTTCCTACGAGGGCAGAGGGGAACGGAACCTCAGGGGGACAAAGGGAACATGTCCTGAAGAACCCAAGATGATTCTGTACTCAGGTGGCTCAGAAAAGCCTGTGCTGTAGGGGCCCAAAGGCATCAGGCTTGAGTGGAATAAGAGGAACCCACCCTGAAGAACCCAAGAAGATTCAGCCTTGGGGGACTGAGGTGCCTGTCATGAAGGGGAAGAAGAGGAGCCTGTCCTGAGGGGTCTGATAATAGCTTGTGCTAAGGGGGAAAAGAGCCCTACATGATGGGGA